GACTGGGGCTATTGTTTACCAGATCATTGCTCCTAAAGCATGTCCTTCTGAAATATTGAAAGTTGCCCATGAACTCCTCATGGGATATCATTTAGGTGTCAACAAGACATGTGACAAAATTATGAGAAATTTCTTTTGGCCAAAAATTTGGGAAGACGTTTCTCAGTTTTGTAAAAGTTGTCATTCCTGTCAGTTAGTCGGTAAATCTAACCAGAAAATTCTTTTTGCTCCTTTGAAACCTACCCCAGCTTTTGAAGAACGTAAGTTCTGTCCTGAGGACATGATCTTAGTATTATTATCCGCTATGGGATATCTAATATAAATAAAAAAAGACAGAAAGAATTTGTGTGTGATACTATTATGTAGGGGTTACATTGGGGCGGAACGGACCCGGAAGGGAGTAACACCTCTTGAAGATTCAAGCCATTAGCGTTCCTATATTCTGATTGGAACGCCAAAATGGACCACAAAAGGGAGTTTCATCTTTTTCAAAATCCCAATTTAACCACTGCTATTCTGTGTCTGTTACTTGGTAACCAACATCTTCAAATATTGGCAGCGGTAGTAAGAGAATGTAGATTGTGATCCAATTTTAGCACTTTTGACGACATTCGTTTCTGCAGTGGTAGAGCCGAAACATATGGTTGAATTCTTGGTACCATCTTACTCTTTTGTTTAATACAACTAACACTGTGCTACTGCTGATGGTGTCATCTTCTCTCTTGTCCCCTTTTACGTTTGTCCCAATAATAACTAATACAATTTGATTTGTTTAAAAATATAACTTTATATTTCTACCAAATACAACATTTTTGTTTTAAGCAATCTTAGTATTTAGTTTTTCCACTTCAGCAGTTCCTACCACTGTCCCACATAATATGACATGCATTTGTTTTAATTGATGCCTTGATCAATAAATAGTTCAGTCTTGTCTCTTTCATTTAACCTGGATAAATCACTACATTTGTCTTTCAGCTTACTACTTCCTCGAACCTCTGTGTATTGCTGAGATAAGGTGATTTTATGTTTCTTTTATTACCAGCCTTCGAAATGTTCGAATACCCCACAAGAAAAGATACGCTAAGCGATACAATATAATACTACCGAAAAAAGTTCTCCATGCTTTTTGTAAATCCGAGCAAAACAGGACCTTATTTTTTACTGTCATCCTTTCAACGGCTTATACTTTACGGTAAAAAACTTACCAGCTTGGGAGGCCATCATCAAGGGTGTACACCCTTCGTTATCTGGTAAGTTGGGGTCCACGCCTGAGAGATCTGCTAACAGCTGCAACATAACCAATTGTCCGTTGGCACACACGTGGTTCAGGCCAGTCTGAAAACACCAACAGTTAACTTTCGGTTATTTCTAATCTTTTTATATTTATTGATAACTTATTTGAAAGGAACCTAGGTACAATACTCGAGTTAACAAATAGCAGCAGATATTTGACTCAGATTTTCGAATACAAACGTTTTTATCTCTTATCAGGAAACAGGCTAAGGTCACAGTGAGACTATATTCCTATGTTTTACATCATGTATTAGACCGTGAAATATGAGGTTACTTTCAAGTCATCAGCAAAATTATTCATAACATTCGACTGTAGTTTGTTTTTAATTTTTCCATTTCAGCTTTCAAATCAGAGGTTTGTAAAAATAGCATCTCAAATCTATCTTTTAGGTGCCACAAGTCACTGCCCAGGAGACTTTTCGTTCAACATCGAAACACGTAATCTTGGTTGAAGGACGAGAAGCAAAATTTATCTCAAACGCCATTTATATACACAGTACAAGAAAGTTTAAAGTAATTTGTGAACAAACTAAGGGAGCATGAAAAGAAATGTAGTTTAACGTGATTTTTTTTACGAATATTAAGCTTATTGATTCCCAGTGCTTCACCAGCTTTCGGTATTCAAACGATAACTTTGAAGCCCTTATACTACAAATAATAATAGCTTTTCAGATAAAATAGTACTTAATAGTATGGATCGTGAGGAAACCAAATGGCGGTCATAAAAATCGCCCGTTTAAAACCACCTTTAAAATATCTGAATATTAACAATGATTATTTCACATTATTGGCTGAGCAAAACTAAAGCTTGTTGTACTTATAAAGTCACCTAAATCTCTATATATGTGTTTATGTAGCGAATCAAAATTTCATTATTTTAATGAATTTTCATCTAAGTAAGTAAGTTACTTTTCCAGACAAGCATACAGAAAAAATGACGAACCTTATCGCTCTAATTTTTTCACAGAACTCTTCCGTCTGGGGTCCCAATTATTCCTTTTTTGTACCAAAAAGGATACTAGTATATATATATATATATAACGGACAATTCGCTACGATGCGCATATAATTAGATTTGAGGGTAGGTTGGTACTTAAAGATCCTGATGAGTAATAAAATCGAATCGGGTATACGCGTGCCCCACGTTTGGTATTGCTGGTGCACAAAAATAAAGCTAATCACAAGGAAACAAACAAGTGTACTGAAAAAATTTAAAGTTTATAAAGACAAGTACAGATCGATATTTACGTAACCTAGTTGGCTATAATAATGTAGCAAGTTTTAATGCTAAAAAAGTATTGAACCAAGAAAGTTCAAACTACAAATACTGAATTACTTAAGCTTTAAAAGTTTTTATCTCTACTTTGGCTCAGACTAATATAACTACAGTGATTTGCCAAAGTAGGGTTATATTTTTTTACATTTTAAGTAACTCAGTTTTATAGTTTTGATTTTCTTGTTTTAATACTTTTTGAAGCATTAAAGCTTTCTATATTACTGTAGCTAGCTAGGTTACGTATATATTGATCCCTACTTGTCTTTATAAAATGTAATGTTTTTTATAATACTTGTAAATATAGCTTTGCAGATAAAATTTTGTCTCTCGTGAATTCTGATATTGAACAAATGCTTCCAAGGTAATGACTTACAAAAGATGTGTCTGAAATATAATTTTTACACACTTCTCAACTGAAATCCGTAATGAACAAATTAAGATATTTAGCAGACAATCGAGAAGTAACATTAAGAAAATGACCACCATATTATATAACCCTCCCTTCAATAAACAAGCATCTCCGTAATGAAAATCACTTTAGACTACATATTTGTTTTTATTATCCCCAGAAGTATAAGATGTCATTAAAAACAAGATAGCGGTATGAACACCAACTAAATGAAACCTGTTGTTAGGATCGCTGTGCCAGATAGTAGATATTTATAGCTACCTTTTCACATTAAGTAACTGTTGCGGACATCATTCTGTATGACGTCTGTTATTTCCCCGAAAAGGGGCCGAAGGTCACCTGGAGGGGTCATATGTTTTCTCCACTCGCACCACTATATACTAGTCTGTCAGTCAATCAGTAGACACTAAAATGACGTCAAATAAGGGACGCTTAACATGGGCGCCCACAGAAATATTTTCAAGTGGGCAAAACATGTATGTAGAGGATCAGCTTTTACAGTGTAAGTCAACAGACTAAAAGAATACGTGTTATGTGTGCTTAAATGCAAACACAAATTTACAGTTTCAATAAAAATAAAGCTATTCACAATGAAACAAACAAGTGTAATAAAAAAATTTAAAGTTTATAAAGACAAGTACAGATCGATATTTACGTAACCTAGTTGGCTATAGTAATGTAGCAAGTTTTAATGCTAAAAAAGTATTGAAACAAGAAAGTTCAAACTACAAATACTGAATTACTTAAGCTTTAAAAGTTTTTATCTCTACTTTGGCTCAGACTAATATAACTACAGTGATTTGCCAAAGTAGGGTTATATTTCTATATTACTGTAGCTAGCTAGGTTACGTATATATCAATCTCTACGTGTCTTTATAAAATTTAATGTTTTTTTAGTATATTTGTATATATAAATTTAGTTAATATGTAATAAATGTAATTCATG